CAGAGATGATGTCTGCTGCTGATACTGTAACAGCAAAATGGACCAAACACAGGAAGACACGCACTGAGAAAGTCTAGGTGGCAGCAGTTTTATTACATCAGCGGGCCTGACTGGGATTGCCTCCAGGGTCAGAGTCGCGCTCGGCAGGAGTTTCAAGGCTTTTAGGGGAGAGCAAGTGGGAGGCACAGCAGCAGATTTGGTGCATTATGATTGGAGGGTCAAGTGGCATCATAGGTTGCCAAGGGGGTTTAAAGATCTCAGGCTACTTTGCAAGGCCAGGCCGTCAGTTACACAGAAACAATAAAGAGAAGGACTACACAAGGGAAACGTTCTGCTACCAGGCTTGCCCAGGTGTGTGTGCTTGGCATGGGCAGGCCTTCACTTACATTCTAATTCCCTTCAGTACGAGTGTCTTTCTGGGTGATGCCTGTACAGTAGTGGTGATGTCAACATGGCTGTGTGATTCACTGAGAAGTGCTAAGGTACGTACTTTAGAAGGGGGAATTGTGTGGTGTATGGATTGCATCTCAATAAAAAACCAAAAGATAAATACAAAATTACAGGCTGGTGAGCCAGCAACTGAGTCCAGGCAAGGTGGTGCACACTCGTAATCCCAGTGCTGGGGAGGCTGAAAACGGGAGGACCGATAGGAGTCTGAGCTACACAGTGAGGCCCTGTACCAAATACATTTAAAAAACTTAATAAAATTACCTCAAACTCTCGGATTACTTGCTTGTGCATGACAGAGAGCTAAGTCATCATCTGAGAGCCAAGCACATAATGGATGGCAAGTGTGTGTGTGGCCCTGCTTTGTCAGTCTCATAATGAGCCACTAAAGCATATGAAGAGCTACTTCTCATAAAATTACTTCAGCCTATGAATTATAGTGAAAGTGGAATTAATGTGTGGCTCCACTTGTATGCCTGTGAAAATTGGCAAAATTGAACTGGACAGGTGGTGCATGTATATACTCCTAGCACTCTGGGAAGCTGAGACAGGAGGGCCCACAGTTCAAGCTCAGCCTGGGCCATGTAGTGTCTTAGCAAGATGTTGTCTCAAAATTTTAAAAAGTTTGGGAATATAGCTCAGTACAGATGCCTGGGTTCAGTCTCTAGTACTGACAAAAAAAAAAAAAAAAATGGTGGGGATGTAGGCAGCTGCAGAATTCGGAAGTGAGGGGAGGTGGGATGTCCTCGTTCTGGTCCTGAGCCTGCGGTTGGGCATGTGCAAGGGACCCCACTGAACGGAGTTTACTGTGCATGTAATACCCCAGGTATCAGTCATTTTCTCCCTGCTGAGACAAAATATCTGGCAGCTGCAATTGAAAGGAGGAAAGGTTTATTTTGGGTCACAGTTTATAGAGGTTTTGGCCCATAGGGTAGCAAGGCTGAAGGGCCTGAAAGAGAAGGGCGGTTCAGGGCTTGCCAGCCTGGAAGCCATTGGGGAAGGAGCTGGAAGGGAGGTGACCTTTCCAGGCCAAGTCCCCAGTGACCCAACCCACGAGGCCCCTGGGGCTAACCACACCTTTAGCTTAGCTATGATGCCCACAAGCTCTAGTCATCTAAAAGCTCCACCTACGAGCACTTGAGGCTTTTAGGGGACATCTAGATATAAACCATAACACCCCACAAAAGTATGGAAAAATAAAAATAACAAACTCCAAAAGAAATGTATGTTTAGACTTGTTCTAGACCCACACACAATGGAGATGTGCTCTGTGTTGAAGTCACTTCACCAGATAGTTTACCTCTCTCAAAATGCAAATAGCCATCTTAAAAAAAGAAGGGTTGCATATTTTATATATGCTATAACATTTATCATCGGAGCAATTTCACAGTTTCTAATTCAGCAGCACTTAATGCCCTTACGATGTTGTACAACTGTCAGATCCTTCTAGATACAAACCTTTTTAATCCCCTCTGAAAACTGTTCCCGTAAGGAACCGCATCTGAACCCCCACAACAACCTGATTCGCCAGCATGCATGTTTCACGCCATGCCCCAGCAGATGCCCAGGGTGTTCCCACCTGTTGGCTGTCATGAGCACATATACATTTTTGGTTCAAGACCTATTTTCAGTTCTTGGAGTAGGTGCCCAGGGTGGGATTGCAAAATCTTGTGGTAATTCAGTGTTTAATCTGCTGAGAAACCTGTGCTCTCCTTCCTACTAGCAATTTGCAGGCATTCCAATTTCTGGACATCCTCAACACTTGCTTTTTTCCTTCTTTTCTTCTTTTACATTGTAGCTGTGCTTATGGCCATGAAGTGTATCTTCTGGTTGTGATTTGAAGTTTCACAGTGACTCACCATGTTGGCCATTCCTGTATCTTCTTTGGACAAATACCTGTGCAGGTCCTGCAGCTGCTTTATAATGGGCTGTCATTTTGTTGTTGGGCTGTAAGAGTCTTTAATGTATTCTGGATGGTAGGCCTGTGTCAAGCTGTGATTTGAAGAGTGCTTGTTTCCTCTGTTGGGAACCATGTCTGAGTCTTTAGTCCCAGGACCCCAGAGTCATTGGCCTGTCCCTCATATGGCCCTGCAATCCCTGTCTGTTGTGGGAAAATGAGCAGAGAAACTGTGATGACCACAACCCACAGGAAGCCACCTGCCTGGACATACAGATCCCAGGCCCTTGCTGGGAGGGCTCTTGTCACGGGCTGCTGTCTAGTTGCTTCTCTCTGCAGAGAGCAGTTCAGGTCAGGAAGGAGTCCTTGCCTATGCTGAAGTGGCTGTCTGCTTTTTACAGAGGGAATATGAGAAGTGTCACAGAAGTCTACCATGTATGTGGGAGTTCACAGTGGCCTTGTGTCACACTGACCATCTCCTGCCACACTGGTTCTTGGAATCGGAGAAAGAGTGAGAGGAGAGCACCAGTAAAAATCAGAGATGCTTTCATGAAAACTTCAGGCTTCGGACAGAGCAGCCCTTCAGAGCACTCTCCTTCAGAGTCCCACGGTGAAAGAGAAAGCGGTGGCCAGACCAGAGGAGACCAGGCCAAGGCTGCACAGTGGTATGAAGTGACCAAACACCACGATGTCAGAGGCCATTGGAGTGCGGTGGTGTGTCGGGCACTTGGTGCAGCAATAAATGATGTCCTAATGTTGGTGTCATAAATGAAACCTTGTGAGGCTTAAATATTGAGGCTTGACTTATCAAGAAACAGGACAGTGGTGCACAGTTAGGAGAGGGAAGGTTCAGTCCCAGACAGTGTGCTTGACTCCTAATGGCAGAGGGGTGACAGGACCCATCCCTCCTCTGCCACACAGGAGACCCCAGATGATTTCTGGGCACAGGGGACAAGCTCAGCACAGTAAGCTGTTGCTCAGAGTCACACCAGCCTGAAGGACTAAGGCGCCATTGGCACCCTGCAGTTCTGGGAGCATGGGCTGCAGAGATGCTTGGGTCTCCTGCTGTTCAGGAGTTTTTTCCTATACGTACAGCCTGATGCAGCTGACATGTACATAAGTAGAACTTGTTTTTAGGAAAAATGGCAATGTATCCACCCTCCCTGACTTCCCCACTTTGAACTCTGCTGTGGGCCAAGCCCCACAGCCATGGACTTCTCTAGCAGAAGCAAATAGGTGCCATGAGTCTGGTGGGACTGGGGTCTTCTGCCTTTGATCTCTCCAGAGTGTCTGGGGGCTTCATGGGAAAGCAGGGCCTATGGAAAGGAGGAGGAGGGCCTTATCATGCTGTCCTTCTGGACTTTTCCTAACAGGCAAATTGCTTTGCACTGAAAGCCCCTGAAAGTTATCATCTAGTCTTGTCAGTTGCAGAGTTCTTCTCCCTGATTATTACTTCAATGTTGACCTAAAAGTATAAAATTAAATTCAAAATGGAAAGGCACTTGGTAAGGGAAACAAAGTGTGGTCTATTCAAACTCTGGGTATCATTCACCCTTGAAAGGAAGGAAATTCTGACACACTGTATTAGTCAGCGCTCCATTACTGTAAGGAAATCCTGTGGCAATTAACTTATAAAGAGAGATGTTTTTAGGTTTGCAGGATGAAGGACTTGCTGTTCTGGGCCTTATGGGCCAATGGTGGTGTGTGTGGTGCAGCAGAGTGCCCGCTGGTGGCTGGGAAGCAGAAGAGGGAGATCAGGCTGGGCTCCTGTAGTCCTCTTGAGGGCCTGGTGACTTAAGGACAGGCTCTCCCACCAGGCCCCACCTCAGGGCACAGCCACTGCCCAAACCAGGCTCGGGGTGGGGGGATGCTACATACAGTGCACGGTACTATGTGGAGCCCAGTCTGCCCCAAAGAGCAGGCATGTAGGCTTTCACTCACATTCACCCTGGAGTCATCAGTGTCACCCAGACAGGACAGGAAGGTGGTGCTGGGTCCCTTGGAAGGGGACATATCTGGGAGGGATGAGTATGGGCTAGGCAGGCGGTGACAGCTGCAGAATTCAAGGGTCTGACACCACAGAACTAAGTGCATACTAACATGGCTAGTGGCAAACTCCATGCTATGTGTGTTTTGTAACAGCTAAAAAATTTTTTCAGAAGGGGACTAGTGTGTGTAAAACAAAACACACAATCCTTAGTTCCAAGGTCAGGTGCTTCCTGCGTTCGCCATCCATTTCAAGCTTGTATGCGCCGCTTCACAATCAGTGGGACAGGTGACTTTTCCTGGATGTTTTGACTTGCAGCAAGAAGACCAAGAATTGGAGAGTGATGAGCACATGTGGCCGAAGCAGAGCCTGCAAGGAAATCTGTTACCTGGAAGTGTGTGTGATTGGTTGGACCTGAATGGCAGCACTGTGCTGATGACGCAGGTCACACTCGCTCTGTGCGCTGGCACAGGCACCAGACATCTCTGTGCTGTTTTTGTTTTTTTTTTTTAACCTGGCTCAGCCTACCTTGGGGGGGCATGTGGTGCTGGGGATTGAACCTCGGTCCTTGTGTGCTTGCCTAAACTTGCCTAAGAGGCGCTTTAGACCACTGAGCTATCTCGCCAGCTTTCTATGCTAAGTTGATCCATATTCTTACTCCCTTTTCAGGTGAAGCCAAAAACCTTCCCTCCTACCCTGGGCCAACCAAGATGAGGGACTGCTACTGCACTGTGAACCTGGACCAGGAGGAAGTCTTCAGGACCAAGATTGTGGAGAAGTCGCTCTGGTAATGTCGTCACTGCTTTGCTTGGTTTCCCCATCTTGTGTGTGCAGTGGTTGTGTGGGCAAGCAGTCCTCAGCAAGAAGGTAGAGATGTTCTTGGGACTGGCTGATGGGTAGCCTCATCTCTGCTTCTGACCCAGGGCCATGCTTGTGGGACTCCTGGGCCCTGTGGGCCAAGGATGCTGAGTGACCCCATCCTGGCAGTGAGGTGTCCTGGTGGCCAGAAATGAATGTGAGTGGGGGCTGCAGGAGAGGAAATATTTGGGAACATTTTCCCCACCTTCTTTCACATTTTTCTTACCCAAAGGGCCCCCAGGGTAACTGCTAGCTGATTTGAGAATCTGTCTGAGTTACTTTTTTTTTTTTTTTTTTGTGGAACCAGGGATTGAACTCAGGCCCTTGCGTGTGCCAGGCAAGCACTTATTCTACTGAGCCATCTCTGCAGCCCCTGTCTGAGTTACTTTCTCCTCACTGAGACACACTGCTCGACACCCAAAGTTTGTTTTGACTCACAGTTTGTATAGATTTCAGTGCACAATCAGCTGGCTCCAAGGCAAGGCAGCATGGTAAAGGGGATTGCAGAGGACGGCTTCTCATGGCATGGCAGAGGGAAGCAGAGAAGATCGTGGAAGGAGTGAAGGGCATAGACCCTTCCAGACCACGCCCAGTGACCCCCTCCTGCAGTAGGCTCCCCCTCCCAACGTCATGGTCAGCTGTAAACTCACTGATGGACCAGTCCACTGATGAGTACCACATCCCTGCCACCCAATGACCTCCCAAAGCCCCACTTGTGAGCAAATGAGGCTTTGGGGTCATCTGGATCTAAGCCATAGCAGGACCCTGGAACAACAATCATTTGAAGAGGAGAGGAGTTGGGCTGGACAGCCCTTAGCAGGGGTCTTAATGTAGGTGTGCTTGCTGTGCACAGGGCCTCAGCCCTGCTCCCTGCTGGTTGGCATCTTGGGGCTGCTCAGACAAGGTGGCAGTGTCTACACAGGCACCCTTTCTAACAGACAAGAGGAGTGAAGTGTAGATGCTGGGAGTAGACTGTGGCTACAAGGGATGGGACAGGAATGCCAGTACCTTGGGCCACAGCAGCTGGCGGCAGTGGGAAGAGAAAACAAAGCAGAGAATGGGGGTGGCCAGCTGTCTTCTTGGGGTGGTGGGTGTGGGGCTGTTGTCTGGGTGGAGTTGGCCTCCCGGGGTTCTGCGTGCTGAAGCTCATCCTGGGACAGCTCCAGGTCGGGTTTGGAATTGTGGGTTGTGTGGTTTCAGAACAGCTATTTTGATTAGAGAACACTTTTAGCAGTTGAATTATAGGTTGCCATCTCGATGTGGGAGCAGACGCTATGCTTGATGACTTAATTACGTCTGTTTTTAGAGGGTGCCAGGCTCTGCATGACTTGGTCTCCTCCGTCTGCGCTGTGGCTGTGATCTCAGGCTCGTGGTCAGCCCACTGGTGTTGTGCTGAGGTGCGCTGAGATCCTCTGGAGCACCTGTGTAAGAGGCCGAGAGGTGGAATGAGGCACATCACCAGGAGTCAAGTCCGTTTTAAAGAGTGTCTTGTGGATTGATGATAAAGATGATCCTGGGGATGATCATTTCCACCTAACGAAAAGGAAGTAAAGCATCGTTGTACCTTTCAAGAGTTATCTGCTGGCTTCGCTGGAGGAATTTCCTTTCTGTACTTAACAATGTGATGCTAGAGGTCTGCCAGTGGTAGACCTGGGGAGCCTCTGTGTGGTCAGGTCCTCTTCAGACCTGTGACTCCAGATTGGTGGGGAGCAGGGCTTACCTGGGCCCTCCTGGCAGTGAGGCTGAGATACAGGGACCTGTTGTCTCCCAAATGTCTGGATGGCCTCAGACAGGGAGATGCCAGTTTCTGAGGCCCTAGAAGCTGGTTTTGGAGCAGGAAAGGAGGCTGAGGGTGGGATGAAGACTGTAGGGCGCAGGTGCTACCTCTCTGGTAGCCATGGGGGGCCCTCAGCGCTGTCATGAGACACAGCTGCCCAACCTCTCAAGAATGTTCTTGTTTGCTGCAGCGTGAGTAAGCTTGCTGCCACTGGTTATTAATGTACTTGCTCCCGTGGCAGGGACACCCAGCCAAGAGCTTGGGCCACAGTACTGAGGCGTGCAGCTCACCCCTGGAGGGCTGCAGGCTGGGAACTGGAGCTCAGTGCCACAGTATGGGGGCCATCAGCACCCCCACCCATGAAGAAGCAGCAAGGGTGGTGCTGTCTGAAGCTAGCTAGCATTTGCGTGGACAGCTGAGTTGGCACCTATGTCCCAGAACCTCCGTCACTGAGGCCACAGTGGGGTGCAAGCAAATCCCCCATCTCTGGTGCAGGTCCCAAGGATTTTCACACATGAAGTTCCAGAAAGATGGGCCTGTGAGAGGAGAAAGGAAAACAAAATGCAAAGAGGAGGTACCCAGCCTGTGGGAGGCACGTGGGACATGCCCGGCAAGAGCACCTGGACATGCCTGGCAAGAGCAGGCTGTTTTGTCCCGACATTGTCAGCAACTAAATGTCATGTGTCTAAAGTAGCAGGAGGCAGAACAAAAACATGTTGGGTAAAAATTCATAGAAATGGCAAACCTTGAGAAAAAGAACAGAATTTCTGGACATGAACAAGGATTTACATAAAAAAGTGAATGAATTTAATAGCTGAGTAGACACAGCCGAGTGGAAAACTGAGCAAATGCTGAGGACACAGCTCAGCAAGACAGTGGGCTAGAGGAGGGTTGGAGGCTGCAGGGTGGCAGCACAGGGCCTTGTGGGAGTCCCAGGAAGGACAGGCAGCCTCAGTGTGGGTTGGCCTGGTGCACCTCAGCCTCCTGAGTGGCCTTGGTTGTGTTGGCAGCTGAGTGCAGAGCTGCCTGCATAGCCTCCCAGCCCAGGATGTCTGCTCCACAGCAAGGTGGCTGTGTCCCAGTACCAAATTTGGGAGCTGACCTCCAGCCTTTCCTGCAAACTGCTTCCAGGTCAGAGTTCCCTGGGACTTGTTTGTTCCCTGGCAACGTCACTGCAGCAGACAGAGACACTAAGTTGCCATTGTCAGCAGGTTGGTGAACTTGTATGACTGCCCCACAGCAGCCTGGTGTCTTCTGTGGAGGTACTGGAATCGCTACCACATAGCTGTCTCACTTGGGACTCCTGGGACTGGAGGGTAAGGAGGCAGCCTCCTTTTCCCTTTTTTTTTTTTTTTTTTTGTGGAACTGGGGATTGAACTCAGGCCCTTGCACTTGCCAGGCAAGCATGTATTCCACTGAGCCATCTCCCCGGCCCCCTACTCTCCTCTTCCCTTCTTTGTTCACAGAAGGTTGTCTGCACCCAGGTGTGGAACTGATTCGAGGCCAAGCACCTGTGTGTGGCCAAACTGGTATTTCAGGGAAGTATCTCCTTCCCTTTCCCTACTCTCACTGTGGAGTAGAGCTCAGGAGGTGGAGGTCTGAGAACAAGCCCCATCCCTTCTCTGAGGAAGTGATACTGGCGAGGTTTCTGCCCCGCCCCTAGGAACATCTGAGAGGGGCTCTCTCCCTACCTGCCTGTGAGCCCATGCGTCCTACCCACATGGCAGACCCAGGGCCTCAGGAAGCAGTGCCCAGGAAGCCACCTTCAACCATGCCAGTGATGCCCATCCCAGGTCCTCCTGGCCCCGAGAGAAAGAAGCACCAGGAGCTGCAGGGAGTCATCTTTGGGTCCAGCCAACAGGAGCAAACCGCCGTCAGGCAACACCCAGAAGCCTGGGCTAGGTCTTTCTGGTCGTTGGAAAGACATTCCAGACAGGGTCTTCCCTGTGGCCACAGAAAGAGCAGGATGTGTTTTGTCCTTGCAATGCTTTTTTGATGTAATGATGACATGCTCACTGTTAGGGTTTTTTTGGGGAGCGACACAGTAAAGAGATACGAAAGATAAAAGAAGCTTTTATTAACTCCAAAGACATGGAGGGATCAAGGGCAAGTAGCTCAGAGCCTCTGACCTGAGACCAAGGGAGTTGAGGGGGGTGTTCAGAAATACCTGCAGAGCTGATTAGGGCCTTCCCTTGGCAGCAGGAAGGGTGAGAGGAAACTGCACCCTGGGCTGGGTTGGAGGAGAAGGGGAGAAGAGGTCTCTGGAAAGATAAGCTATTGTTTTAAGGGCTTCAGCCACGTTAGATGACCACCATAACAACTTGGCACTGCAGACTAGGGCCAGAGCTTATCACCCACCTCTCCACAGCATCCAGCCTATGGACTGTGCTCTGCTCAGTGAGAGGTGGCCGTGGTGCCTGCTCAGGCCATGCAGATTCCTGTCCCACTGTGAAGAAGGAGCCAGTCCTCCTCCCAAACTGTCTTGCCCCAGGAACAGCCAGGAATACATAGACCCTATGTCCACTGTGCCTAATGGCAGGGGAGTATAATCATGTGAGGCTGTTTTGTTCTTTTATTCATAAATATTTTCTTATATGAAAGTAGAAGCTAAAAAAAAATAACAAAGACAAACCTAGAGCCAACAGGGGTGGAGTGGGTTTGCACTGCACCCAGGATAGTGTTGATCCTGGATTTTGGCCCTGCCTCTTCTGTAGGCTTCGCCAGGACCTCTGAGATAAAGCATCCTCCTGGATGCAGTTTGTGTTAGGTATTAAAAGGAACACAGGGCCAATGACACCAGGATTTCTTCTTGATTATACTGAAAGATATCAGTTGGTCAGAAAATAGATGTTTGTATAGTAGAAATGACAAAGCAAGAAAGATCTTGAGACTTCCAAAGCTTTTCTGGCGAGCAGAGGTTACTTGGAGAGGACATTGGTGGTTGGGTAGGCTATTTATTCTCAGACTCTCCTCCAAAACCACCCTCTTGACTTAGGAAACACTGATTCTGAAATGATTAGATGGTGTGTCACATTTTCACTTCTAAGATTTATATTCCGTCCAATTTCCCAAGGTAAAGTTTAAGAGTAGCCTGTTACAAGTGGAGGCCTCTGAAAGGCCAGCACTTCCATATTTGTGGGAACATAGAACCC